GTAAAGAAGTGGGGAATGTAGAATGGTGCAGCCACTGTGGAAAAGAGTATGGAGGTTCATCAAAATATTAGAACTACCATATGATCCAGCAATCCAACTTATGAGTATATATACAAAAGAATGGATATCAGGATCTCAAAAATAGATACACATTTCCGTGTTCATTGCAGTACTATTCACAATAGCCAAGATATGGAAACGACCAAAAAAATCCGTCAGCAGAGGAATGGATAAAGAAAATGTGGTATATATGTACAATGAAATATTGTTCAATCTCAAAAAGGAAGGGGATCCTATCATGATGACATGGGTAAATGTAGAAGACGTTATGCTAAGAGAAATGACCCAGTCATAAAACAATAAATATTGCACAATTCTACTTATCTGAGGTATCTAAAATAGTCAAACTCATAGAAGCAAAGAACTGAATGGTGGTTTCCAGGGGTGGGGGGAGAAGGACATGGGGAATTTTTGCTCAATGGATATGAAGTTTAAGTTATGCAAGATGAATAAGTTCTAGAGATCTGTTGTACAGCATAGTACCTATGGTTAATAATATGGTATTGTGCACTAATAAATATATTAAGAGGATATATTACACGTTAAGTGTTCTTACCACACACTCACACACACACATACACACAAACACATACAAACACATAAAAGAACACAAAGCAATTTTTGAAAGTGATGGATATAGTTAGTATCTTGATCGTGGTGATGGCATCATGGGTAAATACATATATCCAAACTCATAAAAATGTACACATTAAATATGTTCATTTTAAATATCAATTATACTTCGATAAAGCTTAAAAATTTTTTTAATTTGAAAAAGAAATGAAATCATGCATCTATATAAAACTTGTTCAAGAATGTTCATAGCATTTTATTAATCCACTCGTGTTGATGGACACTTGGGTTGTTTCCATACCATGGAGTACTATTCAGCTTTAAGAAACAATAGTGATATAGCACCTCTTGTATACTCCTGGATAGAGCTGGAACGCATTCTACTAAGTGAAGTATCCCAAGAATGGAAAAACATGCACCACATGTACTCACCATCAAATTGGTATTAAATGATCAACACATAAGTGTACATATAAGAATAACATCTATTGGATGTCGGGTAGGGGGGAGGGGGGAGGGGGGAGGAGGATACAGGTATTTGCATACACAAAGAGTGCAATGCGCATCATCCAAGGGATGGACACGCTTGAAACTCGGACTTGGGGGGGGGGGCAAGGGCAACATACGTAACCTAAACATCTATACCCCCATAATATGCTGAAATAAAAAAAAAAAAGAATGTTCATAGCAGCCTTTTGTGCAATACCAAACACTAGAAACATCTCAAATGGTCATCAACCTGAGAATGGATAAACAAATTTTGGTATATTCATACAATGGAGCACTGGTCAGCCATAAAAAGAATTGAACTATTGATACACACAACAACATATATAATTCCTATAGATATGATGCTGACCAAAAGAAGCTAGGGCACAAAACAGTATATACTGTATAATTCAATTTATACGAGGTTCATGAACACACGAAAACTAATCTGTGCTGAAAAAAATCAGAACAGTGGTTGCCTGGGGATTAGGGTGGGGGCTAGACTAAAAAGGAGCATGAGAGAAAGAATCTATATCTTCTTTTGGGTGGTAGTTGCAAAGGTGTATATAAATTTTTAAAATTCATCAAACTGCATACCAAATAACTGTGCATTTTATTAAATGTTCATTATACATTAATCAAGAAGAGAAAAGAATGGAAAGGTATGTTTCAGATCATGAAATGACTTTCCACAGATCCTAAAATCACAACATTATATGACTGTGACGTGAAAGGCTAGACCTACATAATGAGGTTCATCAATATTGAATATTCCACGCCTAATTTAATTATTCTAGAATTTGGTCTAATGGACACATAGAAAATAATTACTAAGAATTGTGATTAGTGTCAAATTATCAGTCTTTGATCTAAAAGTGAAGTGAATAGCTGAGTGTTGAGTACAGGATGATAGTAAATGAAATTGCAAATGGAGAAGTTTATAGGGAAATGAAATTTTAGATTCTCAGGTTTTAAAATTATGCCCTACTTTTTAAAATTAGATTTTTTTTCAAGAAAGACTTTGTGTTAACAAATCAAACCCGTGTGCATTGGTGAGTCTGTGTTTCCAAATTTTCCCCTCTTTGCTGAAAAATGGGTCATTGGTTTATCATTAGCTGTTAGGTTTAGACAGCTAAGGAAAAAATGGGTCATTGATTTATTTAATAACCTAAGGCTCCCATGTTTTAATTACCCATGTTCTCTGTGAATAGTCAATCACATTGTTAACACCCAGGCATCCTGTTTTGTGAAACACTCATTAACTTATTTTGGTACTTCCTTCCTTCCTATATTCCTTCCTTCCTTCCTTGCTTCCTTTCTTCCTGCTTTCCTTCTTTCCTCCCTTCTTCTCTTTCTCTCTATTTTTGTTTATTATTGGAAAAGTAAGAATGATTATTTTTAAATCAAGAAATTATCAGGAAAATATGTTCCCATGTTTACTGTGTAATTTATCAGTATTCTGATCACACAGAAAACAAAAAAAGAATAACTTTCCTTGATATAGCAAATATTTATATTTGCCATAATACTGAAAATATACATCAGTTTCAAAGTGCAATAATCATCATCCCCTGTGAATTTTTTTAATTGAGTACCTACTTCAAGCATTGCTGCATTTCAGATGTATTTACCGTGAGAAAATGGTTATTTATTCTGGTCTATTGAATTTTACAAGCTAAAAATACAATATATTTATAGAAAAGAGATAATAGTGGATTTTATAATAATACAGAACAAATACAAAGATGTAGTTTAAAAATGTAATTGTAATCAACAAAATTTACCGTATTTGTCAGTGTGCCATATGATTTATATGTACATATGCATGCATGCATACACACACACACACACACACACACACACATAAATTACCTATTAATTATATGGATAGTTTGGTGTAAAAGCTTATCATTGAAAATTCAGGGAAAAGAGTCACATGGAGATTAGATAAAGCCTATTTCTTTTTTAGATGATTGGCTCTATCCTCTGAAATTAACACATTCCATCCTACTTTTAATTGCATATATTCCCTGATTACTGCAGTCAAAATAAATATGTTAAGTGTTTATTTTTTTATTTCAAAATATTAAGAGGGTACAAATGTTTTTGTAACATGAAGAGCTTTCATAATGCTTAAATCAGGGCTACCAGTGTGCCCATCACCAGAACAGTGTTTATTGTACCTGTTAGATAGGCCCCTAACTCTCACCTCCTGCCCCCGACCGCCTTCTTGATTTCCAATGACTTTTACTTCTCTCTGTGCCCATGTGTGCTCATCTATTAGTTCTAAATTATTAGAGAGTACTTGTGGTGCTTGTTTTTCTAGGCCTGAGATACTTCTCTCAGGATAACAGTCTCCAGTTCCATCCATATTGATACAAAAGGCATTAATTCATTTCTTTGTATGGCTGAATAGTACTCCATGGTGTGTGTGTGTGTGTGTGTGTATACATATATATTTATATCCCTATCATGACACGATGAGCACTTAGGTTGATGCCGCGTTTTTGCAATTGTGAATTGTGCTGTAATAAACATTCAAGTGCAGGTGTCTTTTTGATAAAATGACTTCTTTTCCTTTAAATTTTTGATGACATTAAGTTTGGTAATCCACATGCCAGGATGTGCTCTAAAGGTTTTGACAAAAGAAAACAACAGAAAAGAAGAAACCAGGCTTAAAATCATGCCTAAATACAGGAATCTAAAGAAGTCTAACTTGTAGAAACAGAGAGTAGAAGAGTGGTTACCAGGGATTGGAGGGTAGAGAAAATTGGGAGATGTTGGTCATAGGGCACAAAGTTGCAGTTATAAGTTGAATAAATTTGTAGACCTAATGTAGAGCTTGGAAACTATAGCTAATAATGTATTACATACTTGAAATTCACTAAGAGAGTAGATGCTAAGTATATTAATATGTTAATTAGTTTGATTGTGGAAATCATTTCATAATGTGTACATACATCAAAACATCACATTGTACACCTTGAATATATACAATTTTTATTTGTCAATTATACTTCAATAAAGCTGGAAAAAACGAAAAGGGCACAATAATACAAAAGGATTTGCAGGTATTCTAGAAGTCAGCCTAACTGGTGAAATCTCACTTAGTTTTGTATTCATCAAACCAATATATTTTGGTCATGCTGAAACCTGAGTAATTTGATAAAGAAATAAAATAGGCATAATTTGCATGGGTCAGAAGTGGAAGGAAAAGTCCTTGACCCTTTTCAGAAGTTCTATTGAAAGACATCACATGGATGATGGGAATTATGGTAAAAATAATATTGTTTGCCTTGCTCTTAATTACTGGGTCACTTATTCGAAATAAAGAAAAAGAATTTTTCCTGGAGTTTTCATGACTTAATGTTTGTCATACTTTTTCCCTGTCTCTGTGAAAACAAGAAGCTCTGCTCTAGGGTTTTCCCCCTAAATGCATCTTTGGCATTCTAGTTAAGGTTCTTGTGTACAGAGGCCTTGATAGTCTTCAGGAGATTTAGGAATTCTTCTTGAATAATTTTTCCATATCTATGGGCAATTGGAGTAGTCTCACAATAAGTAAATAGATGGCTAAGTGGCCAGAATCGAGTCCCCAGTGATTTTCTTCCCTTAAGGGTTAGGACTGGGGATAAAATCCTTTTCTATGTCAATCAATGGATTTTTCCCAGCTCCCTCCCTTTGTTGGCTCCTGGCTCTAATCTCATTCCAGGGCATAACAACCTAGCATTTCTCTGCAGGGACTCCAGGGAGCTGCCAGAGTATCCACTGATCTACTAGACCCAGGAGGCCTAAGGATCAGGGGCAGCAAAGTGCATTTGTGAGCAGCTGAATCTAGGGAGATCAATTTACTTTAGCAAGCATAGCTGGAAGAACTGGTGATGGCCCATGGGCTAGAGCTCCTGTTGCCTCTGCTGCTGGGACAGTTCTGCTCCCAGTTCCTGGAAACCTCTGGGGTTAGTATGCAGAAACACCGGGATCTGCAGACAGGCAATGGCAGCTGGGGACTGGAAGAAACACAGGATAATGGCTCAGTGGTGTCTGCTCACACACTCTTCTTCTCTCTGGACTACCAGCATGTGCAGGTCCCTTTCGAGATCACACTCTGGATTATGTTAGCTTCTCTGGCAAAGATAGGTAAGTGAGGGATTTCCCAGGGTTCTCCCATGGAGTTGCCTAACAGTAGGCACTCTCAGGGCTTTTCTATATGTTAAGAAATGTAACCTTTATTTCAGAGACCAGAGAAAGGCAAGCTGGAATATTTGCCTCTTGATATCTGTCAAAAGGACCTTTTCTTCATTACTCAAACCCTGCTTGCCAGTGATTATATTCAAATTATTCTCCCAGCAGCAGAAGAAAGTAATAGGCCCAGCGCAGGAATTTAGACTGCAAAGAGATCCAGTTGTTCAAGGGTTGGGAGGAGATGGCATAATGTTAAAAAGAACAAAAGAGAAATCTCACTAGATAGATTTCAGATACTAACTGACCTGAGTCTTTAGGTAGCCTTTTTTCCCCCCAACAGGAAGCTTGTTATATTTGCCAGGTAGTGGGATACTGGGACAAGTCCATTTCCCTTTTCTTTTTCTTTTTTTCTTTCTCATTTTATTTTTTTATCCCCATGACTCAAGTGCTTTCTATGGAGCATTTCCCATTTTTTTAAAAAAAGAAAATTTTTTTGCCTCCGTTCAGAATGTAAGAGAATAAATAAAGAATAAATCCAGCAAGTGGAATACAACAGCTGTCATGTTTTAACTATTTAGCCTTTATGAATATCCTGAATTTCTAGTATTATTGTAATAGAGATAAAGGCCTGGAAAAGGGCAAACATTGTCTCTTTAACCACCCCCCCACTCTTTTTGGGAATTAAAACCTGCATTCTTGCCTGAGGCCAGTAATCAGAGGGGCAGAGGAGAGTTCTTTGTTCTTTGTTTTCTACTATCTTAAACCACAGAAGATGGCTCCACAGAATTGTCTGGGCAAAGGTCATGGGATCATCTTCACTGGAGATAAGGTTGAGCAGGACCAACAACCATAGTTAAACAGCAATAGCCTGAAGCTGAAAACCCCCTTTAAAAACTCTGTATTTCTGCTTAAAGGGAGGATGACTGTTGTTTAAGACAAGAATCTGTCATCCTCCTTATTTGCCAGCAAATTAATAATCTTCTCTTTACTTTTTCTCAAACTACTTGTCCTTGTTCTTCGTTCGGCTTTGGGGACGAGTATTGAAATTTTGGTAGCATTATGGCTCACCTAAGGAGAGATATTCTCAATTATTCCTTTTATGTTCTTTGATAATTTATTTCACTTTTACCTTGGTGACATCAAAATTATAAGGGTCTTTTAAAAATTCTAAGTGTTTATTATTGAGTGGCCATTTCTTTCTTTGTAGGCTCAGAAAGAAAAACAATGCCAGGAAAATATGGCAGAATCTATAGAATTTTTTATTGTAAAATGAATTTATTAGCTATAAAAGAAATCATGTTGAACATTCCAAAGTTTTACTTAAGTGACTTTATGTTGTATCATAGCTTTAGCATTAATTAAATATATTATTTAATGATGATACAAAGGAGATCCACAGATTCACCACAAGGTAGATGGTAAGAGCTAGGAAAACCCTGAGAGATCATTCTTATCCAACCCCTTCATTTTTATTCATTCGCTTTATAGATAGGATATATGAGGCCCAGGGAGAGAAGATATTTTGCCATGTTCATAAACCAGAACTAGAAGGCGGATCTCCTGTCTCCTTAATCAGACTTACATGCTGTCTTAGGTAAAAATAATTAGCAGTTGTGGATAGTTAAGGTTTTTTGCAGTACTAGATAAATCGATTGCAATAAATAGTCTAATTAGATGTTAATGTCAGGATCACAGGGCAAAAGGGACATCCCAATAGGTCATCCATACCCATTTGTTTAAGTCGGACTGTATTGATTCATCACTGACATAACTTTTTGCCATAACCTTAGTAATAGAATGTAAATTTTAAAAAACTTTGTTAGCATTCATTAATTGAACAAACATTTTCTCAGCACATTTTATGTGTGGAGCCTTATATTGAGCCCATGAGCTATAGAACTAAATAAGACCTCATCTTTCCTATGAAGAACTTTAAAAACATTTCAATGCCTGGGAAAGAAATTGTCCTGTAAGATAAGAGGGAAGCAGCATGGTGCAGTGTAAAGAGCAGATACTTTGACCTACTTAATATTTGTGCAAACTTAGAAGCCAGTGCCTAACACATGGCAGGCAATCAATAAGTACATGTTGAATCAGTGAAATAGTTCTTTATGCCCCATTTTTATCATTTGTAAAGTGAGAATAACAGTATTTACCTTGCTATGTTGGTGCAATGAGAGAATTAAGTGGGAGAGTATATGTGAAAACAGTTTTGCAACTATTGAGAAATAAAGTGTAGTTTAGGAGCTAGATGGCTTTCTTTTCTGAAAATGTATTTATTATTTATTTTCAAATTATTTCCTCATCTATTTCTATGTAGCATTGTGCTAAGGGATAAATTTAAAGACTAGCCTTAATCCTTGAGAAACTTGTAGTTAAATTAATTTACAGGTATATTAGAAAGGGATTTCTGCAGTGTATTGGTGGGGACTGGGGTAATGAGGAGGGGGATGGATCATCTCAGATGGTCTTTAAGTTCGTTTCTATAGTACAGGGAGTTGATGATAATTAAAGTCATTTTGTATAGGCTTCATGTAAGCTAAAGTATGATGATGTGGTATATAATACAGGGCAAAGGTAAAAGAATATAGAATAAAACAGAACTGCTGTCATGTGGCGTGCTAGAAGTGGCCACATTTCCCATGTGGGATAAAAGACTCATGTGCTTCTAAGAGAGAAAACAAACTTTATGATTGGGATTGCATTTCGATAATCCAGTAATATGAATTAATGTAAGCATAGGTCTGCCAAACAGCCCAAGTGACAGTTTGTGATAGTTATAGGACCACTGGGCTGGGAGTCAGGAGAGTTGGCTGGGTTGTCATTCTAGCTCTGTCACATACTTACTGTGTAACCATGAAATGTCACCTTGCTTCTTTTGCCTCAATTTGTTTATAAATAATTAGTTATGATTACTAAATGCCTTCTCAGGTCTTATTACACAAAGAAGACAATGAATTATGTTTCTCAGATATATGCTTTTTAGGCTACTGATGTCTATCACTATGATCATAAGAAGAGTAGAATTATATTTCCAGCTGTTAAATGCATTGTTTCCATTTTAAAATATGTGCCCACATCTGAAAATGATTCAGTGGGCACATTAATAATCCTGCTGTTAACTGTGAATACTTTTATTATATTAGTAAATATTTTTCCATTATAGAGACAAATGCTTCCATTCATGCCCCTGTATCTTTGTCATTATTAAAATGGAAAATGGAAAAATGACTGAGAAGATATTTTCCTGAAGTCATGAGACTTGACAAGAAGGATGACATATAGAGGTGATTGATAATGAAGATGTTTTAACACTCTTATCTTCTTTCTCTTTTCCAGGATTTCACCTCTATAATAAGATGCCCACAGTTGTACCTGAAAGCTGCCTCTTGATATTTGTAGGTCTCATCATGGGAGGACTAATTTACACTTTAAATGACAAATCCCCACCGGTCATGGACAGTGACATATTTTTCCTGTACTTACTTCCACCGATAGTCCTTGAGGCAGGATATTTTATGCCCAGTCGGCTCTTTTTTGAGAATATAGGCACCATTCTGTTGTACGCTGTTGTTGGAACTATGTGGAATGCATTTGGAATAGGCCTTTCCCTTTATGGTATATGTCAGGTGAAGCACTTCAATCTTCAAGATGTGTCATTGCTCCATAATCTTTGGTTTGGTAGTTTGATTGCTGCAGTAGATCCTGTGGCTGTACTCTCTGTATTTGAAGAAATTCATGTGAATGAGAAGCTTCATATTTTGGTATTTGGAGAATCCCTCCTTAACGATGCTGTTACTGTTGTAAGTATCCTAGGTATAGGCGTTCTATAATAGGTATTGAATCAAGTTTCCTTATGCTCAGCCTTGAAATTTACATAAAAATTGAATTCTGGTTTAGGCCATAATTGAGCAATTTAGTTCTAGGAGTAAGTTTATAAATTGAGAGAGAATATGATTTAATAGTCACTAATATGTTTTAGAATATGACAGTGCTTCCTTGCTACCATATTAATCTGTCAGTTAATTAAGTGAAAACTGGAATAAACCTTCTAGAGACTACAGTCTTTCCAGTCATGCCAGATAAGAAAATCTTAGCTATAAAGGGTGTCTTTGTAGACCATCAAAAATTTTTCAAATGGAATCATGTGCAGTTTTACAATGATCTGTAGAAATATATCTTGATATGGAGAAGCTTTGGTTGGGGCTCTGAACTTTTCCCCTTGACCTGGACACTTTGTAGGAACTTACGCTGAGGGTGAGAGAATGGGGAGTTGGAGGACATCAAAATTGAGAAAACTTAAATTAGAAGGATAGATAGGGCATAATTTCATACCTTTCTGATTGATACATTTGATCTGATCTTTTCCTATGCAGGTACTCTATAAGCTGTTCAACTCTTTCTGTGAAATGTCCTCTATAAAACTGGTGGATATTTTGGCTGCGATAGGAAAATTTTTTTTGGTTGGAATGGGAGGAGTTTTCATCGGGATCCTGTTTGGAATATTCGCTGCCTTTACCACCCGCTTTACCAAGACCATCCGGGTCATCGAACCCCTCTTTGTCTTCTTATATAGTTACCTCTCCTACTTGACAGCTGAAATGTTCCATCTCTCAGGGATTGTGGCGTAAGTATCTGGACAAGTCTTTGCTGTGAGTTATTTCTTTTGGGGTTTGAATCTGATTTTCCACTGGAAATCTAAGAAATTGCATCTCCTAGATATGGGAGGAGGACTCTCCCTTTATGCTCTTCTAGAATTTCCTGTTACTTCTAATAGAGTCACTTAATCACAGTATAGCAATTGTTATTTGTGACCAAGCTTATGAGATCCCTGTAGAGGTTAAATGCCTAAATTGCAACTACCTTGCCTATATTGGGGTAGGGGAGCAATTTGACTCCCTCATCGCATAAAGAAAATTCTGAAAATTTGGCATGGGGTTACCTAAGCCAATTCTCCATCTTTGTAGGGGAGAATTATTGTCTTGACAGATTAGTGTGTCTGAGCACAATAGCTTACCTGTGGTAAGTAATTAGATGGCATACCATATAAATAAGCTTGGCATTATTGTTCTTGTGTAGATGAAATTTCTGACATAACAATTAAAGAATTGTATTACTTCTTTTTTTGTAAACCATACAGAATATGCTGTATTTTTCTCTTATCCCTCACTGGCATTTAACTAGTAATGATAGTCTCTCATGTCAATAGTAAACTTGTGAGGCTAAATGCCCACAAGGTAAGCGAAACAATATCAACATCTAAATGCTTTTGTATTAGGGTTTAGACAGGCCATCCTGTTGTGGGCATTTTAAAGAAATAGTGGAATATTTTTTTCTAAATGTTGCAGCTTTTCCAGAAGCTTAAAAAGAAAAAAAAAAGAAAAGATTGATTTAAGTTAAATTTCACAGGACTAAATGCCTTTAGGTTACTCTAAGTTCTAAAAGGATTTAATGTGAATAATAAATGTCATGATACAATGGATGGAATTAGTTTGTTTTAGATGAAATTGTTGTAGGTTGAAAGCAAAGATTCAATCTGGGGCCTGGGTGATTGCATGTTAATTTGTTAAAAGATGTAGTTTGTGCTTTAAAATGTCTTTGATTTTTATTTTCTGCATTACACAAGAAAATGGAATTGGATGAAGCAACTTAAATTTAAGTCTTCTAATCCAGGGCATTGTCCAGAGCTTTTAATATGTTATTTTTTTTGCGGGGAAACGTGGCCAGTGTTCCCTGCAAAAAACCGGGTCCCTTTGGTAGAGTTGCAAGGGATAAGAAAATAATAGAGAGAAATGGAAAATGGAAGAAATAAAAGAATAAACTGAGACAAAGATATAGTTTTATAAGTTTATAAAGATTATAGGCAAAGCGGGAGCTCAGGGGGCTCGGATCTCTCCGTTGGTCTCAAAAAGCCCCGAATGAGGTCTTACATGTTAACTTATAGGAAATAGTGAGCAATTGTCAGGGGTAACAGATTTACATAACAACAGGTAGTTCCTCTCAGGTTAACAGATTTTCAAAAGGCTTTTACAGAAGGGTTCTACAGATTCTTTAACTAATTCTATTTACGTGAACAAACGGTTGCAAAGTCTTTCAAAGGTTAATTTCTAAATTTTAAGGTAAGTTTATCATTTAACCAGAGGGGTTAAACAGAGATATGTAAGCTCCATGTTTATTAGGTTATTGTGAATGGAGACAGGTAGTCTAGAGTGGTTTAAACAAAAGCTTTGCTTTTAGCCATTTGGGAAGCTGTCCTTTCCGGGAAGCTGTTTGTTCCGGAGGGCACTCCATTGTCAGCTCTCGGCCTATAGTTTTTAACAGATTTGCTTGTGCTTTACAAAGCAAATCCAATTCTTTAGGTCTGAGAAACGCGGCACCTCGTGGGATACAGCCGCTACTGCCTTTCAGAGACGCCCTTCCGAGTATAACAGCATTCGAAATGCAAACCAACACGTTCACATATTCTTTCAGGGCAAAGCTTTGTAAAACCCTTAAGACAAATCCTGTCCCAAAACACGTTTAATACTAATTCATGGAGCGACATTTTTAAGTGGCTTCCTTCTTTTGAGCACCTTAGACTTTCAAAAACTTTGACAATATGGAGATTGTTGCCAAGTTTGTGTTGAGTACTGAAAGAATGAAAGATAGGGAAAACAATATTGTCAAATCTACTTGCTTCCTCGGAAAATCTCCTGAAGCTTAACTTTCTTGTAGGTTATGATCTTTTATTTTGGGTTATGATTACAAGTATCCTTTGAGGCTATAATCTGATAATATAGTTTTATTTTTTGACTACAAAAGGCGGTGAAAAAAGAGTTCCCCTCATTTTCCAGGGAGATAGGTTAGCAAAATCTGTTGACTTAGTTTTCATTCAGACCATCTTAGCCTAGGGCTTCAGGTGCATTTTTGTTACTCAAATGTTGTGTTAATATCCTTTTAAAAATATACTCTTGTGTAAACTTTGTATTTGTGTGTTAATCTCTGTCTTACCTAAAGTGTAAATATTCTTAATATAGTTGAAAAAGAAGAGCACAGCACCATTTAAGATATTTGAGAGAATCCTTTTCTAAGACATTGTATTAATTAGAAAATTAATTAGCCTAAAAACACTGGATTAAAAAAATCAAACTTACATTTGGGCCACCTAAATGATCAAAGCAGTTAGATAATGAAGATATATGTACACATAATTAAAATAGATGAAATAATTCAACTAACAGTCAATTCATGTGTTCAAAAAATTACATACATTCAAAAAATTAATTTTTATGCCAAAATATTAATGAGATAAAAATATTTTAGGGTACATGGATTGTTTTTGTAATGCTTGAGTCCTGATTATAGGTGTGCCCATCAACCAAAACGTGATCATAGTACCCATTAGGTGAGTTTATTCCCCTCTCTTCCTCCCCACTCGCCCTGGTTGCTTTCCACCGAGTTTTACTTCCTTCCGTGCACGTGTGCTCATTGGTTAGTACCAATTAAATGGAGAATACATGTTGTATCTGTTTTGCCATTCTTGTGAAACTTCACTTAGGAGAATGGTCTCCAGTTCCATCCAGATTGTTGCAAAGGTTATTATTTCATCTTTTTTTATGTCTGAGTAGTACCCCATGTACTACTCAGTGACACATTTTATTAATCCACTCGTGAATCGATGGGCACTTGGGTTGATTTCACATCTTTGCAATTATGAATTGTGCTGCAATAAACATTTGACTATAGGTGTATTTTTGATAAAATTATTTCTTTTTCTTTGGGTAAATACACAGTACTGGGAATGCTGGATGAAAGGGTAGGTCTACTATTAGTTCTTTGAGGAATCTCCATACTGTTTTCCATAGAGATTGTACTAATTTGCAGTCCCTCCAACAGTGTATAAGCATTCGTTTCTCACTGCATCCATGCCAGCATCTGTTGTTTTTGGACTTTTTAACAATGCCATTCTAACTTGCATAAGGTAATAACCTATTGTGGTTTTAATTTGCATTTCCCTGATGATTAGTGATGTTGAATGTTTTTTTCATATGATTATTGGCTATTTGTCATTCTTCTTTTGAAGAAACTTCTGTTTATATCTTTTGCCCACTTTTTATAGAAGTGTTTGGGTGTTTGTTGTTCATTTGCTTCAGTTCTTTGTAGATTCTGTTTATTAGACCTTTATAGGATGTATAGTATGCAAATATTTTCTCCCATTCTGTAGGTTGTCTATTTGCTCTGTTTATTGTTTCCTTAGTTGTACAGAAGC